CTCCCTCTCATCCTCGCGGGGTGCACCCCTGAGCTCGCCAGCAGCCCGGGTTCTAGACGGCCGGACGTCTGAGCTGTACACTGGGGCCAAAAGGACGAGGGCACGAAGCTCCCGCCCCGCGAGGCCGGGCTTCGGCACCCCGGCGGAACATCCCGCGCTCGCGGCGGTGCGCTCCACTCCTGTCCCAGCCGGGAGCCGAGATGCCTCGCTCTGTGTCTGCCGGCGCCGGCGGGGGCTTCTAGGGCGCTCCCGGAGCCGCGTCCCCTGGCTGCTGGCACCGCGAGCTTCCTCCGGCCAGCCCAGGACGCTGCCGCTTCGACTCTGCCCGCGGTTCAGCTCACCAGGCTGCAGAGCTTCAGCTAAGTGGAGTTGGCCTCCCTGCCCACCTGTGGAAGAAGCTCGCGCTGACTGATGCGCCGACTTTTTTCCCCTTTGGCCTCACCGGCGTCCCCTCCCACAGAAGCAGCATCACCCAGTGAATGTACATTAGGCTGGTTTTTCCCCCCAGCTTCGGGCTTTGTTTGGGTTTGATTGTGTTTGGCTCTTCGCTAAGCTGATTTATGCAGCAGAATTCCCGTCGGCTGGAGAGAAACAAAAGCTCTTTTCTTTGTCCCAGAGCGGGCTGCGGAGCCCCGCTCGCGTCGCCAACCCGAGCCATTGGCCATCGGAGGAAGTGCTTCAGGCGGAGGTTTCGGGACCAGCCGTGCGGAGCTGGGAGGGCCGCGGGGGCCCTGAGATGCCGAGCGGCGCCCAGGCCAGCGTACCTGCACCGCTCGCTCCGAGCCGCGGGGCCCGCCTGCCCGGCCTGCTGGAAACGTCTTAGCGACATTTGGTCCGTGGGCCCCAAGGTGCGCCGCGGAGGCGCGAGCGCGCATCCAGATAGCAGCCAGGCGGCAGGCGCGGTGCGGGCTGCTCTGCATTATGTGCTGCTCGGCCCTGGCTTTTTTTACTGCCGCATTTGTCTGCCTGCAAAACTGCCGGCCAGGTCCTGCCCCGTTCCTCCGGGCGGCCTGGGTGTTTGCAGTTGGTCTTGGACTGGGCCAGAGTGGTAAGTTTTTTGTGTGTTTTTTCTTTTGTTTTCCTCTCTTCCTCAAAGGTCTTGAGCTGACAGGAAGAGCATCCCGGCCAGGTAAGTGGCCCGGTGTCAGTCTCCCTCCATCTGCCCTTAGAACTTAAGAGGGGTGGTGTGTGGAAGTGTCCCCCACCGCATGTGGCCTGAGGGAGGCCAGGTGTCAAGCATTTCCGCCCTGGAGTGACAGCAATAACTAATTATAAGTGGAGACACGGTGTGTTGCTCGTGGATGCTGGAGAGGCAGTAACAGAATGGACGTTTGGAAGAGTGGGCGGTGGTATTTACAGCAGCCAGTTTAGGGGTTCCGCCCCATCCTTGCAGGCATCCTCAGAGAGGGCCCCCATCTTTTTAGCATGTGGGTCTAACCACTAGCTTGCATGTGATTCAAGGCTGAGGGTAAATAGGTGCAATGGGAGTCTTCTGTTTTTGAGGCCATGAAAGCAAACGATGGCAGCTTACAAGTTTCTCCTATGGTAGTGCTCAGCCTGAATGAATTAAAAGTGCAAAAGTGTGTGGGCACTTTTGAATTATATGCAAATGTAAGGTGACACTACTGCATTGCTAGCAAACAGTAGAACACAGAGTAATAGTAATAACCATCAATTTAGGATGAGTTCTTATTGGTTTCATACATAAACCAAACACTTACTTTTGCCAATGCAATGATTATTGCCACAGTTTATTTTTTAATTTACTTTATCTGTTTGGCCATCCAGCCCTTAAATTCTGTTAGAACCTTTCTCTGACCTCTCTTGTTGAAGGAGAGTTATAATTGTTTTGTAGACTAAAATTTTCTCTGATGTTCTGAACTGGGTGTGCCAAGTTTCTGCCTGAAGCTAATTAAAACAGTAAAGTCATAACCTTATAAATGAAGGTTTCTAATGGAAACATCCAGCTAGCTTCACTTATTTGTTGCTTATATAGTTATCTAATATATGTTTCAAAAGGAGACTTACCCAGTTACGAAATGAGAGCAATTAGAGTAAATTTTTATCTTGTGGTTATTTTTTGGCTTATGTGTTGATTTAAAAATAAGTGAAACTTAGGGAAAGGAAAGAGTAACATTCATTATCAATTATCTCTTAAGTGGAACATGAATTTGTTACAGCAGATTTTCCACTGAGCATAATTCCATCCTGTGTTAATAACTAACAAAGTGTTTTTCTAGATTTAGTAAACACATACACATAATAGTAAAATGACCAAAACTGTGTCGACAGCATATATTATATCCCCAATATGTAGGCAAAGGGAAAAGTCCTACTTGCCTCTAGAATTTGTTAATAGTAATAATTTGTATTCATTGTGCTTGTAAAGATTAGTCAAGCTCTCCTGTAGTAGCATTGTATTTCCAGCCAGTAACTATAACTGATTTGAAGCAAATATTATGAATGAGCTCCCTTGCACCTGCAGTTGTGAAAAGGGCATCCTTATTTGAAATCAGAACAAGGCATCCTTTTCCCAGCCTCTGTCAATATACAAAGGTTTCTCATGTATACTGGTTTGCATTGCAGTTAAAAACATGCAAAAAATTTAAATTACAGCCAGCACAACTCAGAAAATTAAAGATCAGAATAAACTGTTGTACTTTTGTGATATAGCTACAAGGCTCAAATTATATGTCTTTGCAGTGCAAATTAGACGCTTAAAGCAGAAAAGAAATTTAGGTATCAGTTACAAAGGGAATCTTGTTCCCTTGCTCAGTAGTTTACACCAAGGAAATGTTGAGGGCATTAAAGCCATACAAAAGAAACCATAAACTGCACAATGTAACTTTGGGTTTAATTTTTGAAGTAGAATTTATAGGTCTCAAATTACATATGGACTTTTGTTAATGAATATATCCTGAGCAAGAGGAATGTTACTAATAAAACCTGAATATTATTCTGATCTAGAAAATTTATTGGACTTTGTTATTCAATTTTTCCTGGTGGAAATTACTGACAATTGAGTAACAGTAACACTAAAGAATGGTTAATGAGTAACTGGAAAACACTAAAGACTACCTAGTGGTTAATATTTGAAGAAGACTTAATGTAGCAACAGTTATTTCTACATTTGCTAGTTTTAAAAGGTTAAAAATCTTTTTAAAAAATATGTTTTTATTGATTCTAGAGAAAGAGAGAGGGAGAGAGAGAGAAAAACATCAGTTCGAGAGAGAAACATCGATCAGTTGCCTCCCCTACACACCCCGACCGAAGCCCCAACCTGGGAACGTGCCCTGGCCAGGAATTGAACCAGCGACCTTTTGGTGCACAGAATGACACAACCAACTGAGCCATGCCGGCCAGGGCTAAAAATCTTTTTTAACTAAAATTGTATACAGCAATATAAGAGTGAAAAATTTCAGAAGTTTTTAAAAGTGGAAACTATGATTGCAATTTAATTTAACCTTCTGTGTATAATCAAGTATTTAGTCTTTTAAGTAACACCACCTGGATTACTGTTGTTTTTTAACTGTAGTATTACATTACCTCAGAACATATTTTATAACATAAGTGTTCTCGGGGTTTTTATGCTTACCTAAAGTGAGAGGATATTTAAGAGAACCAACCCTTCGTTTATAAAAATCCAGTCTTCCAATTATTTGTACAATAGGCATCCAAATTAATTATATCGTAAAGCAACCGAGACACTTTCTGATTAAAAAATAAGTTTGTGCACTATATAAAACAAAGTAACTGGTAAGATTTGAAAATACCAGAAAAATTCCTGTGCCCTCAAATATTCACCTGTTACCAAATTATCTGAAATTTCACCATTGAATGGATTTCTTTGAATTAAGCATGGTATTGAAACTATGTTTCTTCTAATTTTTAACTTTATATTATGGAAATTTTGAAACACATGCAGAAGCAGAGAGAATGGTATAAGGAATCGCTATATACCCATCACCCAGCTTCAGTGAACTATCAACTCAGGGCCAACTTTTTTCATTTCTCTCCCCACCCAGTTTATCTCTTTTCCCCAACTACATTATTTTGAAGCAAATATCTCATATCATTTTCTCCAAAATATTTCAGTAAATCAAAATACTAGTGAGGAGTAACACACTCATTAATCCCAGAGCATGGATTTCTTTAGCTGAGTTTTAGGGCCACAAGGTTGTTCATTATCTCTGATGGGAACTCAACAAGCAAAGACAGTTTCAACCATTTACTTCTCAATGGTTCTACTATGGCTCCATTAAAAATATTTTTCTTAAAAATATGCATATGTAACAGCTTTTCTGATATGCATGTATATGAAGAAGGAAAAAATAACATGGGTAAATCTACTTCCCCGGCCAAATGCTAATTGCTTTATCCCGATGGAATCACAGCAAGTGCACCTTGTTTGAGTCTGTTGGAAGGATTGTTACCCTGGTCTCCTGAATCATCAGTTTTGCCCCCCTCTGCTGGATCACTTATAGCATATGCATATCCATACATGTGTAGGATCCTTCTGTTTCTCACGCTCGTTAATAGCCAACATTCTTCAAAAAGTTGTTATACTTGCTGTCTCCAATTCTCCACACCTGCTTTTGGAGTCCACTGCAGTCAGGCCTTGTTTATCACCTCCGCAAGTATACTACTCTGTTAAAAACACAGGGAGCTGCCTACCGCCAAGCCCCACGGCCACGTCATAGTCTTCATCCCATTATCTGTCAGTAAGTGAACACTGTTGACCACTCCCTCCTGTACCCACGTTCTCTGGGTTTAAGCTCCTTCTCTTCTGATGTCAGTTCTTCAGGTCCCAACCTCTAAATGTAAGAGTGCTGGGAAACTACTAATATTAAGTATATATTAAAATTATCTTTCCTGATGTGACTGAGCCATATAGGTATTAACAAGAAGAGTCCAGATAGAGACAATAGCAGGCTCAAAGATCCTGGAGTGTGCCTGGAGTGCTGGAGAAAGGGAAACAGGGCCAGTGTGGCTGGAGAAGAGCAAGAGGGGTGAATAGTGAGGGACGAGGTCTGAGGGGGTTAAGGAGGGTTACATCATATTGTGCGGGGTCCATGGAGAGTTCAATATGTCCATGAACTAGTCTGGGATAAGAATTATAGCTGCATTTTCATATCTAACATAACATGCATTTGTCTTGCCAAAGACCATCCCATGGTTGAATGTTATTACTCAAGCTAAGACACCCTAATATGTTTTTCAAAAATAAACTTGTTGCTATTTTAAAAGGTACTTTTATATACTGCATTAATAAAGTACATATATTACTTTAAAAATTGTCTTTCCTGAGTTACTTTAAAAGTTTCCCAACTAAAATCAGTTTAGGAAATAAGAATAAGATCATTAAAGTAAAATTGAAATGTTAAATTATGGTGGTTTTATTGGATATATACTCTTAAGATGATTTTAAAATATGCTTTTATTTTGAGTGCTATTATTCAAAGTACTAAAAGTTCATGTTTTAAGACAGCATATGAGGTTTCAAAGAGTGGTCTTTCATGCTGAGCTGATCAATAAGCCAACCATCATTACTCTAGTGGGTTTGGAAATGTGTTCTCTCTCCCAGGTATTTTTGTTATTTTTCTATTATTTTGTTTTAATCAACAAATACTGTTATATTTGTCAGAGACAGAGTCTGTTGCCATTCCAGATCAGTATTGGTGCACTTTGATTAGTCTAGAAAATTGCCTCCAAAAAAAATCATAGGCCCCAGGTAGTTCAGTAGCTGCCAAGGCTAGTTCAAGCCACAATCCATGGAAGAGACCGAGTCTGCAGATGGAGGGATAGGATAGTAATGAAGACAGAGTATGAAGACGAGAAATACGTCAGCTCTGAAGAAATGTGCCAAATATTTCTTATTAACTATGTGAGGTATGCAGTGGCTCTTCGCCAGGGAAGTTTTAATATTTTGTGTTGTTTTGGACCCAAATTCCTTTTAGAACCAAAAGAGCTGGTATTTCAAGATATGCTGGTGGGCAAATGCAGCCAGAGTTGAGATACTGTTGTTCCACGTGAACACAAAGTACCAGG